CGTTTAACCCACCCCGGCCGCCCCGCCGTCGCCTCCAAGCGCCCCCAGCCCCACCCCCTCCGTACTGGCCGCTAGCCATTGGTCACCGCCACCACCCTCCCGAGCGCTCATTGGCCAGGATCCGGCGCTCTCGTAGCATTTTACTGCAGCAGTTTCTTTCAGACCGGCATGCCTCGCGCCTGCGTCCGTTCCCATAGCGACGGGCGGCCGCAGCGGCGTGGGCGCAGCCCCGGGCTCGGCGGAGCGAGGCCTCTGGGGCGGCCCCGGATCCCCGCCGCGGGATGCAGGTGAGGTACCGGAGAGCACGCCCCGCACGTCCGACGGAGCGCATGCTGTTGGGGATCTTAACGTAGATTTCAGCTGTGTATGGAAAGCCTCCGGTCCTGGCTCCCATGCTACTCGTCTCTGACATCATCTAGTGACCCTGGGCAAAAAACTTGTTCCTTGAAGTACGCTCAGTCTCCAGTGCATTTTAATGTGTCCACGAGTTCTGTACAACACCTTTCCATAGCTGATACGTGGGCCCCAAAAGCCATTATTCCTTGCCCCAACGCAGATCACAGAGACACGGGATTTAACCCAGTAATCTCTGCAGCAGGCCCTTGTTTCTCTTTGAACTGGGGTAGCTCTTTCGGTAAGATGCCCTTTACTGAGAGGAAAGCCCACCCATGTCGGAGGAAGGAGCTCCGTAGCTTATAAATAGCACTTGATCATCTTTCCTATTCATATGTCTGTTTTCAATTTGTCTTTGTCTTTCAGACTAAGTGACCTCTGATAGAAATCTTTTACCCATGTTAGTACTGAGTATGATCAAGTCAGCTCTAAATTTTGTTCCTTTAGTGAATTGAATCCATCAGACTTCTTAAGTCTCATTTAAGGCATCTTTTGCAGATCTCACTATTTCTGCAACTCCTGCCTTTTTTTTTCTTTTTTTTTTTTTTGGGGGGGGGGGTTTTGTTTTTTTTTTTTGTTTGTTTTAAATGAAGCAAGATGTTTTGGGAGATCCCCAGTGCTCGGTTTTGTTAGTTTCACTCTCCCTGGGGCACTTTCTGCTTATACTCTTGTCAGCAGCTAGAGAATTGCTGTTGAGTTTTCCATAGCTGGTGATCTGTTAATAACAGGACTCTGAACCATGTCTATAGCAAACAGCACAGGCTGACTTAAGAGAGGATTTCAAATACTGGTTGGTGGGACTGCCATTTCCTTGTAGAAATAAACAACTCAAGAGCAGTCATCCACCTCACTTGAAATGCAAATATTTTTCATATCAGTACAGTATAGTTACCTGCTCAGTGTCATTTATAGCTTAAGCAGCATAACTGCAAGCAGCCTTTTGCCTTGCAAGTTCTGAGGCAACCTCAGAAGAATATACTGTCCCAAAATATTAGAACTGGGTAATGTAGTACTTCTGTCACTCTAGAATATCTCAGAAATAACTTCTGACTTTAGCTTCCAGGTTTTAGCATTCCAATTAGAAGAGATGAAATGCACAGCTTTGCTTTCTGTCTTGCCATCAGGAGTGTGTGTTAGGGACAACTCTGAAAGTTATGAAATTAAGGGAACTTACCTGGTTTGATGCAGCAGATGAAAGGGCATATGAGACCTCGTGTGCTGGCAACTTGAAGAAGCTTTGAATAGTCTTGGGGCCACAGTAAGCAATTAATTTACAGAACTGTGTGTAGTATCTGCAGCACTAGCAATGGTTCTTTGAGTACTAGACAGTTTTGTGCTGACAGAACTGAACCATTTTACAATCTTCCCAGTGCTTACAATTAACTTCAGAAACACCCATGAATCTCTGAGGAGGTGGTTGTGTTTGGTAGCTGCAGGCAAATTTCTATGCATTTATTAAGAAATGGTTAGCTGAAGGAACAGATGTGATGACGACTGCAGGAAATGTCAGTGTGGGCGAGATACACATCATTAATGAGAAACATTAAAGCCTGAGATACACGGCTTTAAAGAGAAACATTACAGCCTTACTTGTTAATCAAGAATATAAAAGTATAGTTTCCCTCAGGACAGAGCTGCAGGGGAAGGCAGAACAAATGCACATAGGAGATGATAGCTGGAGTAGAGGAGGTGCCAAAGAAAATTGGGTAATGGATAAGGCGTATCATGAGATTCCTCTTGCAGATGGAGGTTAGATTGTAAGCACTTTTCAGTTGAGGCCTTTTTTTGCTCTGTGTTGAATACCGTATCACTATATCTAATCGAGATTTTTCCTGGGGCTCCTAGTTACTATCAAAACATAAAATAATCATTATTAGCAATAAAACAACTTCCATTTTCTTTTTTTCATAAAACTGAAGAAATCTCCACCTTGAAATTTTCTTTGTAAACCTGGAATCTGTATGCTAGGGCTTCTAATCCAATTTTATATGTTACAGATCTACACAGTAGTGGAAAAACCTTAGCAGGTGTAAGTCAAGTTATCTCCATGGTCTCCAGGGAAACTAGATCCATTCACATCATCTCAGAATCTGGCCTCCTTTTGTTGGTTTTTTTTAACCACACAGATATTTTTTTTTCTTTTTGCTGAAAGCACTGAGAAAAGATGAGTTATTTCACAAATATACATCATGTTTGCCTCCCTGCAGTTACAAGGAATTTACAGGTAGCAATTTTATTACACGAGTCCTTAACTATATTTATTCACTTGCCAGGGTTTATAAATTGCATTGTGGCAGAATACTGTAAAGATCTGACCCAGATCCGGACCCACTTGCACGTCAAGGCCCTGTGGTGAAAGCAGGTGAACTGGCACCATGAAGGGCGTCTCATGCCCACCTCTGGGTGCAGCCAGGGCCCAGTGGGGCTTTGCGCCATCCCGTGTGGCGCAGCACCCACCACATCAGACACGCCGAGGGCAGGCTGAGGCACTAACATATTCTGCCCCATAGGCAGCTCATCTGGCCTTTGCTAGGGTTTCTGTTTTGGTGGTTGCCGGTGTCCAAGTCAGGGCTGTAATTCCCTTATTAGTGGTGAAGTTGCAACAAAGCCCTTTATTAAGGAAATGTGTGTTTTCCACTTTAAATGCAGTTTGGGCCGCAGGGAACAAACATTGGGCAGTCTGTTCTCTCACTGGAGTGTGTGGGTAAGGGAGCAGCAGTGAACTGGCAGTTTTAAGCTTAGCCTGTACTGCATTGGGAATGTGGGATCATCTTTGTCCAAATTGTTGGTTTGGTTGTTGCTTTTAAATAGATACTTGATGTATCGGGTTGGAAGCTCCTGCAGTCATGCGGTTGACTCTCAAATTCCTCTTCCATTTTCCATGTAAATAACATTGTCCCCGTTCTCTCTGATGGTCAAAGGAGGCAGCCAAAATGGATAGAACAAGTGAGGATTTCTCAAACTGGGAATTCTCTGCTAACATGCTTGTTGTATGGTGTGACTTGAGGTCTTTCCTTGTCATGATTTATATATGCATCATAGATGACTTTCAGGCTGAGCTTGTATATTTGCAAGACTTTAGCGTTTGCAGGGTCTGAATCTTGAAAAGCCTGAGCCTAAAGCACTAATACAGTGCTACAGCTTTGCAGAGAATTGGATTAGTGGGGTTAAATAGAGACTTTAATTCAACACCCTTGAAAGAATTCAAGTGTCGTAATAATTACATGTTTTATGTGTATGCATGTATGTATATGTATGTGTGTATATTATGGAAGCTTAGACAAATAATGAAGTAACTGCACAAGTAAGAGTGGGACAAGTGTTTGCTCTTGCTTCCTGCCAGAGAAAAATATGAAAAAAAAATCAGTTCCAGAAAAAAAACCAGTTCAAAGCTTACCAAACATGCAACCTTTGAGGGTAGCGAGTGAAAATGGATCCTACCCAATGGCTGTGATTTTTTACACCAGCAAAGGCAGCTGTAGTCCTTTTCACTCAACCTAGGTTTTCCATTAAATACGTGGCACATAATGAATGGCCTGAGAGGGAGCTTGTCAAAGCAGTTTGTACACACGGTATTAAGAGCAAGCCACTAATGACTGAACCTAGTACCAGTACTATTCAAACTCTTTAGTATTTTTTTCAGTTTTTCAAATTATGATACTTCTAATATGCTTGGTGGACTTCTGAGATGTTAAGAAACAACGCATGTGTATCATTAATCTCTAATTTATATTACCTGTTGTTTGCAGGGATGTGGAAAATGCAGTTCATAGGAGAAATAGTTATTATGGTCACGCTCAGGACTTTCTCTATCAGACAGCTGGCAGGACCTGAAGGGACACACACACCAAACTGGTGGTGTTTATTATGCAGATGTACAGAAAGACAGAATGGGAGTAATGGCTTTTCTCTGCAAGAAGATACAGAACTGCACTGTGTAAGCTGGATGACATCAAGTTATGATCTCATGAGGTGAGTTTCAGCCCTCAGGGGAAGCATGTGCCTGCACAGTCGTGGAGGAGCCTACGTTCCTTCTGTCAGGCTCTCAAGAGCTGTAAGAGCAGACTCAGAACTGGTGATTAGTAGTATCCTATTACAATAACTTCAGGGGTCTTTTCTAGCACTTCTTAAGAAAATTCCACTGTGGCTCAGGACGTAATTCTATGTACTAGAAAAGATCATGAAAACTGGAATAAATCATTCTGGATTCTTAAATCTGTATGTGGACGGGGCACCATCCAGGAAGAAAAGTTACTGCTGCTTCTACTGAAGCTGTTACTAGGTTCCTGCTGCCAATGTCTGTCTGCAACACTAAAGGGTACTGCAGTACTTGTATTTCTAAAACCTGTTCCAACAACAAAATAATGGTTATAGTGCGTATTTAGTTCATTGTGCCAACAGAACAAAAATGCCAAGTTCACAAGTAATTACATTCTTTATTTATAACAAGCTTAGCTACACAGGATATTTTAAGTAACACAAACAACTGCAATGCTTCGGTTGAAACAGAACAATGGTTTAATCCAGAAAATATCACTAGTATCACTAGAGATACACGTCTGGTGTACAGAAATATTTATGGCAAAGATTTTTAATTTTAGAGCAGCTATTTCTGCGTATGAAAAGTTCTTTCTCAAATTATGTACAACCCCTAGTATTTAATTTGTGAGAATAAAAATACAAAGTGGGAAACAGAAGGTAACCCACACAGACATGGAACACGGAGATAAAAATGGAAATATTCAATAGAAGCAAAATATTTGAGTGAATCACCTTCCTGAAGTGCCTTGTCTTCCATAATGAAAATCCGAGTTCTGTCCGTACATCACAGAGATACTCAGCGGTGTTACGGACTCCTCCATACCAGACTGACTTTGTTACTTCTGACAGGGTCAGAGCCTAAGTCAAGCTAAAGGTGAGAAATAGGCAAATACGGCCTTCCAGCCTCTCTTGTTCTCCTGACAAACTTGTTGAGGAAAAGTATAGTGTTCCGGATTTTTTAATCATCACCTTTTAATGTTCTCTTTAAAACCTTTAAGCCATTCTGTATCTTGAAGAATAACGCCAAACTCACTTTGCTAAATAAAAGCACCAAGATCATCTGTCATGCTGCCTTCCAGCTTCATAAACACTGAATATTTCAGTAGTACTGCTAAACTTTTCACACCTTCCTCCTTCTGTAAATTGTCTTCAAGGGTGCTTCTTTTGATCAAAATGCATGCCAGGGTTTCTCAGCTGTGACCGCACAAACCTTAGTTTTCCCAAATAAAATACCGAAACGGCATTTGGGTTCTGGGCTTTTGCTAAGAGCCCTGCAGGAAAGTCTCTCTTTCTTCTAGCTTTGGTAGAGGGATGTTACCTGATGGAAAACAGAAAGAAAATTGTGTGAGACCAAGCTGTAAGTTACCTTCTGGGTAGCACAGCTTAGCAGTAAAGTGCTTCTCCACTTTATTCTAGGTACTTACAGGCAGCTTAAATTTCCTGCACAAGAAAGAAAAGTAAGTTCTGACTTGTGTAAATAATCGCTCAACGTGTGTGGTAACTTTAGAGAAAGGTTAGCTTCTGTACTGCTTTTGGACCAATAGATTGTTTTTCTCAGATGGCTTCAGTTATTTATTTTAGTACTTCCTTATTACTGGCTAATACTTCTGAAAGTATATGCAGTTACGGCAGGTTACATTCCTCAGGTTAATTCAAGCAAAGTTAAGAGGTTTTTTATAAGCAAGACAATACCTGGTGGGGCTACAAAATATTCCTCTACTTTCTCTCTGGCATTTTTCAGCAGCTCCTTCGTGCAGTTGCCTTCTGTAACATCATCTTCTCTGAGATACAGACACCTGAAGAACAAAGATTACCAGCCTGTCCTTAAGCTATTCTATGAATATGAAATATGAAGTGCAGCTTATCGCTAAACTGGTTTTGGTCTTAAGTAAGTGGCAAGACCAGTATTGGAACATTTTGCAGCAACTAAGAACGCCACTGACAGGTATCTGGGAAGCAGCGTGTGCAGATCATTCATGACAAGATGCACAAAGGAACTGGAGCTCATCGTTGCGATGCTTACGCATAAAGGTGCCAGTGACATCATCCTTCCACACAAAACCACGGTAAGACTTCTCAGTAAGCAAAGGGGCCAAATGCATAACCAGGGTGATTCCCAGGGGGGAAAAAAAAAGTTACAAAAGCAAATAGTTTGAAGCATTAACAGTTAAAAGGAGGCTGCTGCGACTCATCACCTGTCCTCCAGGACCGAATCCATCGGTTCTACTCCATCGGTGTTTACTTCATGAAGCTGGTCAGCAAACTGGATTGCTTTCTGCAGCCGCTCCACGCCCTCTGCGTCGCGGAAATCAACCAAGGCCAGGTGCTCCAAGCGATCCAGCACTTCCACCGTCACTTCTTGCTGTACGAGAGACAAATACGGACAGAAAAGGCAAAGGCGAGCAAGTTTAATATAGTGCTACTTTTATTTTCTTAACTAAAAACTCGTTACGTGGCAAACCCCCGAGTTCGCATCCGCTGGGACGCGCTGGTTTCTTGTACCTTCTTGGAAAATTAACTTTAACCGAACTCGGTATTTTTTCCTCCTTCTAATCTCCTGCCGAGCGAAGGGCAAACCGGAGCTGGCGCTCGTTCCGGTAACTCAGCCCGGGGCAGAGGGGGGCGGGCAGGAGGAACCGCCCCCCGGAGCCGCGTTTCCGGGCCGCACTCGTCCCTCCCGTCCCCCTCCGGGCGCCGCTCCGGC